AGCCTACCGGACGGCGGCTCCGTCGGAACAGACTACCGCTGCAACACTCTGACTGACCGAGCGGGCCGCGCGAGAGCAGCCCGCCTGAGTCAGCCCGTTTGAGGTCTCTGCCCCACGGCGGCCTGTTATTGACTGTCGCATAAAGTCAACTGCTAACCAAAACAACTCTTTTCACGCTAGCGGCGTGAAAATCACGCTCGCATCTTGTGAACCCTGAATCCATCTTAATGAAGCAGTGATACATATTGTGAAATAGTAAAACGTTTTTTTTTAGACAGATTATGATTGTTTTGCATCGTTTTGTTGTCTTTTACTTAATGAAGTCAATTCCGCCACTTCTCTGGGGTGGTTTGACAAGTTGGGTCCGTTCAACGTCCTAAAAGCACTTTTAACTACAAAAATTGGTCATAATATTAAAGTTCCTGTTTACATTCCTTTGTTTTGGTTTGTTTCAGTATAACAACCAGATATATGTGGGTTATACTGTGCCTAACGCGAGGCCCGCGGTACTGGGTCCGGCCACATTCTCAATGAAGCAGTGATCATAAGAGTAGAGCTATATGGAGTAGAAGGTAACGGGCGGGGTACCCCCGGATTCCTCCACTTTCGACCCTTTGCCACGGTCTAGCGCCACCATTTCTCCACCGATTTTCAATATCTTTACACGGATCGACAGCTTAAACTTAGACGTTTTACGGGATGTGCGGGTCGACCCGCGGCGGTGCCGTGCGCAGCCTCCAGCGGCTCGCTAACGCAGCGTCGAGAGCCCCCGCCGGGATTAGGGCCGCCCGCCGCCGCTAGGCGCGCTGCCTCCGCGCGTCGCCTTCAGCTGTCGGCTGTAGCAGAAGCGCCGATTTGGTTTCGACTGTTTGCGTACTACTACGACGTGAGGGACCTGAACTCCGAGACGTGTGTGTTGTTTGGTTTTCTTGAAGGTGAGAATGATTTCTAATAAATATTATTTTATTTTCCGATAGAACACAGTCCAACTTTGATATATTTTTAGTTTCGGGTCTAATTCTGCCGATATTTTACACGTATTTTCTTAAGTTTAAATCTACATTGAAGGTTATCGTAGGGAACAGTGTTTGTGTGCGAATATTTTCTTTTTAATATACAAGAAATGTGTTTTATGTTACAGAATGGACGACCCCGAGAAATCGCTGCTGGGATCTGACTTAGAGTTGTCTACGTCCTCCTTGAACAGTACAATTTTCGCCTCAACTCCAAAGAAACCTCGCCCCCCAAAGAGGAAGCAGCAGGGTATATTTGCTGTTCCAAAAGTTCCAAGAGTACAAGGACCCATTGTTGGAACATGTGATCTGTGCAAAAAGGTGTATAGATCGATGAAGTATTTTGATGCCCACAAGAAAAAACACAAGCTTGAAGGTAATGTGCAGTCAAAGTAGTTTTTAAAAACAATTGTGCAAGATGTGTTGGCATGAATTTTAAACTGAATGTTTGTTTACAACATTCCAGCTGCTGCGAGCCACTTCCCAAGTAAATATAGCCTACAGGAAGAAAAAATCAATTTTGTTCTTGGTGTTTTGGAGAAAATGAGAAATACAAAACCTATTGGCAACATGGGTCGGAAGACTTCGGATTTAGTCTACAATATGTAGGAAGCTATCAATAACCAAGACCACAACCTGTATTTAAGTTTCATTGATGCTACTTACACTAAGATTGTTGAGGGAGTTATAAATGAAAAGTTTTGCTTGCCAACAGCACTCTATGATAAACTTCAAAAGGCTTTAGAAGCTGCTTTAAGTAATGTTAGTTTCCGGGAAATGTTGGCTGAAACTTTCCCAGAGGCTGGTTTGAGTCGGGACCCAGCTTTTGAAACGTTTGTTGTTGAGTACATGTTTACATTAGGTGATGTTATTTTCCATTATATTAGTGAATGTGTTTTGAAGGGCTGTGCCCCTGAGTTGTCTCCTGTTGTCAACATAGATGATGAAGAGAGGCAGCTCATTCATTATGTGTCAGGTTGTGTTATGCGTGAATTTTTCAGAAAATCTATAAGGTTCCCCAAAAACCGTGGCTGGAAAAGAGTGCGTGATGCTATTGTTAATTGTGTTCTTGAAGGTGGCCAAGTTGTCGCTGCATGTGATAGTGACAGGTATTGGACTGAAATTTCCAACAAAGGTGCTCTATTTTTTGTTGGAAAAGCATACATGGAATTTATGATACCTGTAGTGAAACTTCTGTATGTATGTGAGAAACCAGATGGTAGTATACTCCATGCCGAAGTCCAAGAGAAATTGTTAGTGTCCCCAGCTAAAAACCTTTGGGATAAAATGATTGGTAATCATCTTCCACCACAGGAATCAATACACTTCATGAGAGGGGTAGTAAAATCTTTTACGTCATCATATGGAAAAGGTAATTCTACTAAATTAGTTAACAGATTTTTTTCTAAGCCAAAAGCAAGTGTTGCCCTCAGAAAAAGACTTGCTGTGTAAAAGTAACTGCATGTATTTTGTGATTATGTATATGATGAGAAATGTTCACTAAAGTTTAAATGAATAAGAGAAATATTAGTTAAAAAGAAATAAACAAAACTTATAATGAATACTGCTTTTGTTATTGAAATATTCCTAATAACATATATGCAAATAACTTGAATGGAAGTATAACACTGAAGAAACATTAACAATCAGAAAACACTTTTGATACAGAGTCATAACTGTACTGATACAATTTATTATTTCTTCTTAGCAGGACATTTTCTCTTTGGCAGTGGTTCAGTAGTAATTTCCAATCCTCTTGATCTCTCTTCTGTATTGCCTTTGCCTCTCCTTGTAAATCCCAACTCTCTCACTGTGTGAATGTTCATGTCATTTTGAAGACTCCTGCCCAAGTTAGGATTACCACTTCCCTTTGATCTCTGTTTGGAAAAGTGTTGCTCCAGATGATCTTGGCTAAAAACTCTTGCATTTACAAATTTTACTTTTTCACTAATTAGAAATTTTACAGCATCAATAAATGCCATTGTGGTAAATTCAATACCATCTAAAGTGTAATTAGCCAGTAATTTTTTGGCAGCTGGTGTGTCTTCTGTCACTTCTGTGGCTTCATTATCAGTCCTTTCTTCTTCTGTGATAAAATCAACGCTCAGGTCTTCACCGTCACCACCAAAACTTTGTGAGGCATTTCCTAAAGCTTGAACACTGTACACTTCTTCCTTCCAATCAGATAAGTACTGTAAAAAGCCTTTTAACTTTTCAAATCTGGGATCATTTTCATCTGTGTATGGGTTCAAGTTGGGATTTCTTGTCCGAATGCCTTGAGTGGAATGTGCTCCATTGAGGCAGTCAAACCAATCGTTGACTCTGCGAATGAAGTCCACAAGCTGCTTCGTTCCAGGCCACTTCATGTCTTCCAGTTCTTGTGCCACCGTTTTGCTCAAAACTTGGGATGCAAATTTAACTTTCATTGCTGAATAGCTGTCAATATAAATGTGCTGGGCAGTGAGTTTGTAAGACTTTCTCAATGTTCTGTTTCTCTTAGCATTATAGAGATTAATAATTGTTTGCCATAACAACTTTTCACCACCTTTCTGTAAACATCTTTTTGATTTTTTCCCTTCTCTTGAATTACTTAAACTATTTCTAATAGTCTTAATAAGGTGGGCTACATCTGACATAAAAAAAAAGGAGCCTGTGAGGTGCACATTTGTTCACAGTTGCATAAATTATCCCTGATTTAGTTTGTCTTACAGGAGTGTGCTTCTTTAAAAAGGATCTATTTACAGCAAAGCCATCAGAAACAAAAGCTATGATGCGAATGCCACTCCTCTCACAACGGTTGATGACTTCCCATGTTTTTGCATACAACATTTGACTTGTGAGTTTGTTGACAGGATAAGAAGCAACAACTTCCTTAACATTGCTGGCTACTCCCTTCACCATAAAGGATAACATTTTAGAAGCCATTTCTGGTTGTACTTTTTGGCTTCCAGTTGCAAGATATTTTTCCATAGCAGCTATATCAGCAAAAACTTGATTTTTTTCTAATTTAACAAATCCAATCATCTCACCTGTTGACTTGCGATAAACTAGATTTTGACATATATGCATTTCATCACAAAGCAGAGAGTGATACTTCTGATAATCATGCATTCCTTCCAGTTTTTTGTTAATGTCCTCTAGCACATAATCATATACACCCTCTTCAGCTGGATCAACATGAGAGTAATCAAAGAGTAGCCTAGATGATGGTAGTGCTAACACTCCACTCTCCCGCATTTTCTCATACACTCCCGGTGAATCCAAGTAAATACCAAGAGCGAAGCGGATCATTGTTGGGTGCCAGCGTATTGAACTGGGACTCTTTGCTTTTGATGCTTTAAGTTGCTGTTGCAAAAACAATGAACGTACTTCAGAAAGGTCAGCAGATTTGCATAAGTCGGTCAACTCATCTGACATTTCCTTGTCAACCTGGACACCTTCCACTTCCAGAAGTTGCTGCATTTTTTTTTGAAGACGGTCCAGTCTTCTATTTGTAGCCAGTACTGTCTTCTGTTGTCTCACTAGTTTTTCTGACTTTTGAGAGTCTGACAAAGCTGCATTTGGAGTGAACTTATTTGCTTCTTTACGGAATGCCTCTTGCCTTCTATGTACATTTCTTCTCAGTTTTTCACATTCACCACACCTCCACTTCCGTATAGAAATTAATTTGGGGCATTTAGAAGAACGCAATGTCTCAGTGTACCTATTTTCCTGGTAAGGATTCTTATCAATAACAGCACCAGCAATACCTTGCCACACATCCTTGTATTCTTCATCAGACAGACCAGCACACATTTCTTCATTTCTGACCTTATTTATAATATCAACACACCTATCTACAAATTCACCCACTGTTTCTTTGGCTAGACTAACTGCTTGTGGAGCTTCCCTCAAATACTCCTCAACAGGGAGAGGTTCACAGTGAACACTGAGCTGAACACTACCATCAGGTAAAAAAAATAAACGCCTCTGTACTGCCTTCTCAAATTTTTTGGAAAGAAGCATGACATGTATGCCCCCATCACTGACATGGCATATCCAGGACTGGTAGAGGAACATAGAAATTTTGATGCTAGCATCTTGAAGTAACAGTGACATATCTTGGGGCACACTTGGTTCTGAAAATTCTGGTGGCAAAGGTATAGGAGACACCTAAGAGGAGGAGAGAGACCATTACACAAATTAAAAAGTTAAATAGTATTTAGAATACAACTGCATAATCCTTAAGAAAGACTTACACAACTACTTTTCGCAGATTTGTTTGTGCTGGACGGCAACTTCTTCAACTGTCGGGAAGGGCCAGCGATAATTAGTTTCAATGAAAAATAGCTATGGTCTGGACTGACAACCTCCTAGTGCATGTGAATAATCAGTGAATTAGTGTGGTGAAAAATTATGTAAGTAGGTCCACAACAAATAATAGCACTCACCCTAACTATATGTTCTGGCAGGCAATCACTGCTGGATGGGGCCACGTCCATAGTTTCATCATCATCAGCATCATAGCATAAAACATCCTGTGGGTAAAAATTATAGAAATTACTCTAAAACAGTAACATAAACAAACACTAAAATAGAAAGCCTTACCATGATGGAATCACTGCCACTGATTTCAATCTCATTAGAAACATCTAAATTATCAAATGCCTCAGGACCAGCAGCACTTGAATCACTCATGATCGCCTGTAAAAAAATTATCAAAATTAGTTTAACATTTTCAATCAGTTTTTGTAATAAGGGGAAAGTACAAAAGACCCACCACATCATCGTCCGTAACAGAGGAGCTGGACGACACTGCGGGACTTGAAGACCGACTCCTCTTCCGTTTCGCGGGCCTCACCTGCCGACATTTGGGTACTATCGGCATTCTCTCCGATCCTGGTACAAAAATAACCATAAATACCTCGAAAAGAGACGTTTCGTAACCAAGTACTCAGCCGTGGGGGGTATTCCCCTCAGTCACAACACAGCTTTGAATTCCACGATACACAAAAAATTAGGCCCGAAACTAAAAATATATCAAAGTTGGACTGTGTTCTATCGGAAAATAAAATAA